ACCTTCGCAAGTATCCCACAACATTCTAAAAAGGAAGCCCAGCAATGCATCGCCAGCCAGTGCAGAGGGCCCCACGCAAGCATAGGCACTTGAAGGCTCATGGATGTTGTTGTTGTTGTTGTTGTTCAAATATCATATACCGCTAGATATATAAATATAGGTATATGTATATTTATATGCTATATCTAGCCGAATCTATACTATAGCCCAATACATAAACGCCCATGCACCCATAGTTCAAGTACGTGACAATACGCAGACTCGAGCACAACACCAAAATCAAAATTTTAGCCTGTGTTGAGTGTTTTGGGCCTGCGTGGGTATTTGAATGGATATATATCACCGGCTATCATTTTTTGTGCAGCCTATACAAGATCGGGTGTGTCTCAATGAAAACATCTAGATTTATCAAATATCGTGCTAGCTCCTAGGAATTCCCACAAGGCCGATCACAGCATGATAAAATGGAAAGGTTTTGACTTTGTATACCCGAAAAACCCTGAGATTTTTGAGGTCCAATCTTGGAATCTTGAAGAGTGGATTCATAAAATACTACTATCCTGAAGGCCCTCATACATTGCAAGTTTGTAGGGGCACTCCCTTTTGGAGAAACTCCTGTGTGCGTGGAGACCGCGCCGCCACAAGCTGGCCAATAAGATGTTTAGGGGGCATCTTGGAAGTTCAGTGCAATTTTAGGCAGCTTTGGTTATAATTACCCTGTGAACCTCCAAGTGGCGCCAACCATGTTCGGGCTTGAAAAGTTTGAAACCTGCTCTGGACCTTGCACATGACTTTTGGAACGGATTCAGTCTTCGAGTATAGAACTGCTGAATAAGACCCGTGCTCCCGATTTTGTCAATGTCCAAAAATGAGGTTGCTGCATCCCAAAAAACAATGACTGATTTTAACTCTTCTTTTTTGCAATCAATGATTTCCTTAAACCGCGTCCATACCCTTTAACATACCTCGCGGCCACCCATAATCCAGCCCGGCCCCATCCAGCTCCGCCCCTCCATCTCCTCCCTTGTCTCGGGCCCTCCCCTCCACCCGCCCTGCTGCATCCCTCCATCCAGCCCCACTCCGACGGAATTCAATTCAGCGTCCATGGATGGAGGATGGAAGAGCAGAGCTGGAGGGTGGATGAAGGGATGGAAGGGACGGGGCTGGATGGAGGTGGATGGAGGTGGATGGAGGTGGATGGAGGGTGGGCTGGATGGAGAGGAGGGGGGAGGTCGGATGGATAGGTGAGCGGAGGAAGGTGGAGGTGGAGGGGGTGGAAGGCCATGCACTGACACCGAACCGAACGGAATCCCCAATCGCAGTACCTGGCAATACTCTATCGACTGATTCTTGGTAGATACCGGGTATCGATCGAATGGATACACTACAACCATGATAATTGACGCTAAGGTCCGAGGAATTAGCCAACATGATGTCAACGTTGTCGCCCCAGATGAAGCCGCAAATGAATTTGATCACCTCTATAACTCACATCATCCTTTTGTTTGCTCTATCCCCGAATTCCCCAAGGAGGCTGCCATTCTGCGAAAACCATCAGGCATGAAAGCAAGATGAGGTGAGTCCTCAAATTCGCAGGATGATTTTTCTCAAAAGAAATCAGCCCGACAACCATTTCTGATGCTGCAATCAGTGGTTTCTGCCTTTGGTGAAACAATATCTAAGAAAGAGCCGTGCATGTCCTACGCTACTTCAAGCCACTGATAGGGATATCCATTCTTCCCTCGCCACAGTTTCATCCCCAATCAGGAATTGGATGGGAGCGTGGGTAGGCCTGGATAACCCTATCTCAGCTTACTGCACTTTTCCAATTTCAAATCATAATCATCTTTAGAGCGCTGCATGCTCATTTGGTATGACATCAAACCCTTTGTACTTCACATGTGATTTTGAGATTCTTGGGTAGCTTTCAACTCAAGCGCACTCTGTTGGCCCCTTCTATAAGACGGCACATCAATAGCACTCCGGACTTCAAAAAGAGCTGTTGAGAAACTGCTCTACATCTTCAACTCCAAACTCCCAACCAGAACCTTTAACCCTGAACCAGATTTTTTTTATCCTGAACCTTATGCCCTGTACAATGCCCAACCCTAACTCTATACCTATCCTAAATGATCAACTTTTTTCGTGAAGTCTAGACCCTAAACCCTAAAACCCTAATCCCTGAACCCTAAACCCTATAAACCCTGGACCCCCAAATAATATTGTAATTTCCATTCTATTGTCCATTATCCCTATATAACCCCTATTATTATCCAAATGTTAACCCCTGAACCCTAAACCCTAAACCCTAATTAACACTATTGTATCCCTAACTTCTTCGTGAACTCATTTCTTCTTGCTCTTTGCCTTCACTGCCGGCCGCTGCTTTGCCTGCCGGCTTGCCAAAGGAATTTAGGGTTTTAGATTGGGTCATTCATTCCCCCTTACAGTAACAGTTACCACAAGAGGTAATGGGAGTGATAATAGCCCCTTAATAAGGCCCCCTTTAAGGACAGTTACTGAATAGGGGAATGACCCAAGTTTTAGAGCACGACTCTTTGAAGGTCTTGGGGGTGTCTCCATAAGGATAATGGACAAGAAAATGGGAACAACTATTTAGGGTTTAGAGATATATGACCCCAATAATGGAGAATCATATGCACAACAAGATGTAGCATGAGATATCAACTGCTATTATATAGGGGTGGCAGGGGTTAGGGTTTCCTAAAAATGGGGGGTTCCGCTTTTCCGGGTCCCAAAACATAACAGGGATTGTTGTCTGGTGGGATCTAACTTGGGTCCCCGCGCTTGAGGAAGCTACCATATAAGGATCTAGAATCTAGAAGGTTTAGGGTTTTAGGGTTTCAGCGTGTGAGATTGGGGGATTGAGGGGGGATTGGATGATGCAAGTTGATGCCGCTTTTCTTGTTCTTCTTCAGAAGTGTAGTAACCCTTTTCTGCACCGAAAGCCCGCTTGCTTGATTCCTTAGCCATCTACTTTCATCTGGCAAGTTCTATTGCTTAAGGGTTCGGGGAAGTTCGGTGCTTGTAGTCTGAATTATTGGCTATGGGTCTAGCAGCGATATCGGATTTTGTTCGTGGAGTGTCTCAGAGCTATGGATGTCCTCCTAAGGCATCACCAAACATGGTGGACGAGTAGCTGAGTAGCTACTGCTTCAAAGGTTGGGGTTTAGGGTTCAGGGCATCAAGCAGATTTGAAGGAGTTGATGGTTTGTGATTCTGCTTCCTGCAGACTCAGACGAACCCAAAGGTCTACAGCACTGGCCGTCGCAAGGCTTTCTCAGACCCAGCACACATATAACCCATAATAGTTGTTTCCATTTTCTTTTCCATTATCCCAATATACCCCCCCATATACTATAGTCGTTTCCATTGTCTTTTCCATCTATCTCAATATAACCCTTATCTAACCCCATACATACCCCAATATGCCACAGTAGTTTCCATGTTCTTTTCCATAACCCCTATATAACCCTAATATTTCTCCAATTGACCGGCATGGAATTATCGTTGGCAAGTCCGAGTCAACAGACCCCAAAGGCCTTTGTTGTGGCCTCCTGCGAATGGGAAGGCTTCAGCTAGTCCGTGGTTTAGGGTTTAGGGTTGTAGGGTTGAATAAGGATTATTGGCATTATGGCGATTAGGGTTTAGGGTGGTTATCTCCCTAAAGATTGGAACCTAAACAGTGGCGGTGGTTAGTTCTGTAATTGTGACTAGTAGAGATGTGAGCAACGATTTGAGGCACTTCTGGAAGTGTTTACCGGCAAAACGTGGAATTTTATGGGGGTTAATGTAAACAACATGCGAGCGTTGCGTGCTCAGTTACGTGTGGTCCAGAGATGGCAGCTTAACATCACACGGCGTTTTCTCCCTCCAATGTCAATGAGAACATAAGATGAACACCGGGCTGTCTGCAACAAACCTGCGTTGACCACTCATCTCGCACATGGACTGAGATGAGATTGCGGTACGCACGCATTTGCAAGTGTGTGCTTTGAAAATGACAAAGCCTTACATCGCCGCAAGGGCTGGGCAGAAAATCACGGGCCTGCTCAAAGCACCGAATAATAAAGCGGATACGGGTGAGCTACCAGAAAGCTTCCCCTGCATCCCCCAACAATACAATGTCCTCCTCTCGAAGCAGCTGTTCCATGGCTTTCTTCGCAAGCTTCTCCTCTGCTCAAAGCCAGCTGGACACTTCACTCCCGGCTGAAACTGGAATGGGGTATCTATCAATGTGCTTCATCCAGCCCTCAACCCTAAATGCCAAACCCGATACCCACTCGCAAGCGGTAAGCCAGGGACGGTAGCCTGTTGCCTGATGTCTCCCCTACGTGTGGCAGGCACCCTTCAGCGTATTCTGGACACGTTGCTTAGACTTAGACTCTTGAAGAACGCTTCAAGCCTGAAAACGGGATGACTACGACTCAAGCTTGGTCTTCAATTCAACAAATTAGATCCCACCATCTTCGCCGTGACATACCTGGAGCTTCAGACTCAGGCTTCTCGGATCGCCACTGGATTATACGCGGTTCTGTTACAAGACCCAAGCCCCTCAATGCATCCCGATCCCAAAAAACATGATCATAATTTAGAGGATCCAGGAAACTGTTTTAGCATTCCTGTTCGGGAGCCACGAAGCGGTCATCCTTACCGAGTTCCTGATAAGGACCCCACAGTCTGAAACATTCAATCCCTCAGCCCAGCTACCTCGCAAACTGGAAGCCTGGTTGTTCCCGCCACGCACTTTTGGACATCAATGAGCATCGCGCCACAAATGTAAACTCGGGGGATGATGTATATGAAAATGATGTTCGTGCAGTGGTCAGTAGCAATTGGAATACAAAGCAGTGTCAGGGATAACTTCGAGGCTTATGTAATCGACTTGAGGTAATTACTCTGTACTATACCATGATGATACAAGGCACCCAAACCAATCTTGATGTTTATTTCGGCCGCTATCGTAGGCGCCCAGGGTCCTGTCTGACCTGCTCCTCTTGGGCCAACTTGGCCTCCACTTCTTTCCGCTTCTCCGCCTCCGCGGCGGGCATTACTTGTCTCATCCCGCTCCAAATCATATATGCTACAAGGGAATTAGCAGATTCTTAGGACAGAAATCCCTGAACTCAAGCGCAGAAACGACATTCAAAAAGGTAATGCGCACGCACATCAGCAAAAGACTCAGAGTATGTATAGGTCCATACAGGGTGCGTGCCTTCTCGCGCTCTCGCTTCTCCTTTTCCTTATCCTTTTTGACCTTGCAGATGCCAGTTTTTTGGAGGTATCGGCTTCAACACAACTACGAGTGAGTACATCTGAACCAGGGCCTCCTTCTTTTCAGCTACCTGCTGCTTCTGCATGCGCCATATCTGCACAGCCTGGCAGCGCACAAACCTTTACCGCCCACACCTTCAGCCTCCCAAAAAGAGTCCCCTCTGACAGCACATGCTACCGATTCAGCGTCAGAATGCATGAAGACAACCCTCAGCATTCGGCGCGGATCTTTCAAGGACAATTATTAGCCAATACTGCCCATCTCGTTTCATGAGCACCTACTCTGACCACTGCCTGGTTGAAGATGTGGCCATTCCTGGCACAGGGGTAGAACAGGTTTACCTGGCCGCTGATTGGCCGCCGATCCGACCCCCGGACCCTTCCTACACCGCCATGATATCGATGTTCCCTTGCTGACGCCGGCAAGCAGCTTGCGCAATTCCACATTTTCTGTCAAAGCGGACAATATGGCACGAAAAATGCCGCTGCAAGACAGGACAAGCTCTTGCTGGCGAGGCCAACCAGGCTCCAGGACGGCAGCCTCTGCGACCTGAGATGCGCAGCGTTCTCAAACTGCGAACCCCTATTTGTAACAAGGTAGACACTTCCCTGAGATGGCTGATTAAACTCAAAATTTGGCTAAGGAAGAGAGCAGTCTCTTTTCAAAGCATGGGACTGGTGCCCATACGCATGGAGTGGAAAACCCGATGATTAGCATGCATGTCTGAACCCATCACAATTGCACATCAAACACCTCCGTAAAGCTCGAAACTATCCACCTGTTGTGTTCGGATTCCGAAAGGTCTTCTTTGACTCGTGGATGTGCTGCCTCCGTACTAGCGGATCGTTTGCCCGAAGCCTTTGCTTGAACGGATTGTGTGACTCCAACTTTTCCGCCGAGGAGACCTGCACAAGGTGTACTTCAGCATATTGCAAAAATTTGACACCATTTGTAGGCCGTTCCAAATTGCAAATCCAATATGATTTCCAAGACTCTTTTTTGCTAAGGTTCTCTTTTTAGGGTTTAGGGGTAGGCAAAACCCTTGACTTGTGGGCGCGGGCCCTACCCAAGACATACCCTACCCTCCCAAAACCCTAAACCCTAAACTTACTGGTTCTTAGTAAGGACTAGGGGAATATGATCTCCATAGCATATATTCCCTGGTTCCCTACTAAGACCCAGAAACTAAACCGTTTCGGGAGCACTACATTGGCTGTTAAGGCACACAGCTGCTGATCTCCTCTGAGACAATCTGCTCAGCCTGCCACCAAGTTCAGATAAAGCTGAGGTTTAATTTACCGGTTCTCAGTAGGGAATAGCGGAATATATTGAAAGCCTATATGGATAATGGCAAAGAAAATGCAAACTACTATTTTATAATAGGCCATATATTGCGTCCATAGTAGGGAACAAGGAAATCTGTTACACAGGGATTATAGAGTAATTCCCTTATTCCCTACTAAGAATCACTAAGTAAAGGTGAGTTGGGCAGTTTGGGGCGAGGGTCTGCGTAATTGACTATTATGATATACTATAACATACTGAGATATACCAGAAAATACTATAATATACAAAGACTGCGCTTAGCTGCACACGGCCATTGTCCGTATCACATGGCACTGCCACGGCCTCGATGACAAGAGCTGCACGATGCTGCACGAAACGCAATATTCATGAGCTTCACGAGGACCATACGTGAGCCATAGCATCCCCTTTAAGAATCCCTATCCTGCTTCCTGCCAGAGGCCCTTTCATGAGCCAGTGGGCTGGCTATCTCCTGCAATCTGGTGCGATGAAAGCAACACAGCTTTAGTGATTCGGGTTAAGACGTTATTGACTTAGGGTTAGGGCTCAGGTTTAGGGCTTGGGGTTTGCGGTGTAAAGTTTAGTCTTTAGGGTTTACGGCTTAGGGCTTAGGGTTGCCCAGGAGAGGGGACCAGGAGAAGACCACGGGGCCACAGGACCAGAGGACTGCCAAACCCAGGAAAAACAGCTCGGAGTCGAAATGAGCCCTCAGCCCGAAAATCTAAATCTTGAAACCCAAGCCCCAAAGCATTCCGCCGAAAGCCCTCAAACTACAGATTGAAACATAAAGCCCAGAACACCCCCAGCGGTGCTGAGCATGATGTCGCTTCTTTCGTGGCAGCAGCTGCAGCCTGCACTGAGCTCGCAGACAGCCTCCGATGCCCATGGCCGATCGCTTTCAGTCGGTGACAGAACACGTTGGATGAACTTGTTGAGCATTCTGTCAGGGGCTTGAGCAAGCAGCTGTTGAAGCCCACAGAGAACTTGACCGGCGGACAGAACGTCCGCTTTGAGGGCATTTGTCGACCCAGATTGGAAGTGCCCGCTAAGAAGCATGTTCGCGACATTGCCACCCAGGCGGTTCAACACCTGGTGCCTGCTCTGCGGATGCTCCGCTGCGTGAAAATCAATAATGACGACGAGAAGGTCGCTGTCAGTATTTTAATCGGGGCGGACACAGAGATTGGCAGGCTTCACGTCCGTGTGTGCGATGAGGCACTGCTCACAGCGGCTTAAGCCAGCGAAAACAGAACTCGCCACACGCAAAACGTCGCGCGTGCGCACTTGCTTCATCTTCATGACTTGCTCGAGGCTGGGGCCGAGGAGTTCCACGACCATCTCGGGTCTTCCCTGCCCCGATCCTGCCGGGCCCCAGTCTTCAGGAAAGTACCGCAACCGCACGATGTGCGGGTGAGGGTCCAGCTTCTTCAGAAACTGAGCTTCTCTCTGCAACTCAGCATCCGAACTCGGGCAACTCGAACGCTTGATTGCTGCCACTGAGCCGCTGAAGCTACCGCGTACAACAATGCCGAGACCCCCACGGCCCAGCAAGGTCGATGCTTTCGGGTCCTCTACATCGCCAGCAGGTGCCCGCCGTGCACCGTCCAGAAGCCAGGCAATTCCGGGCTGCGCACATTGTCTGCGACCCCTGCAGCGAGCTTGTTGCTTCTTTGTGGGATGCCAGGCTACGCTGAAGGTGTAGCCCGCACCAAAGGGCAGCACATAGCTGGTCGGGCCAGGGCCAGGATCCACAAGGGGCTCCCGCCATCGCGCGGCCCGCGAGAACATGGTTCAGGGTTTCGTGTTTCTAGGGTTTCGGGTTATCGGTTTCAGGGTTTAGTATAAGGTTCAGGGATGTTGGGTTCTAGTTTTCCGATGGGCATGCGAGTGTTGAGTTTTTGGGTTGGCCTCGTGTGGTCTCGTGGGGCTTGGGGTGGTTCTGGTAGGTGTGTTGAGATTTGGGCGTAAGGGGGGTTGCTAAATAAGAAAATGGAAATGGTATCTGCTAACTTAATGTTGGGAATGTTTGTCGCGGTGTAATAGAAAGCCCCCTAAAACCCAAAACCCAAAACCCTAAAACCCACCACCCTCGACCTAAAACCCTGAACCCTAAACCCCAAGACTCCCCGGCCCAGATGATCCCATGGCTAGCCTCAAGCAAGGAGGCCCAGTAGCGCTCCGAGACCAGCTTGCCGCGCCAGAGCCGGTAGTTACCTTCTCAGTCTAGGGTTTATAGTCCCCCTAAGTAGATAGAATATGGGGTATATGGGGATCTTATTATAATATACCCAAAGCCGTATTCTATCTACTTAAGGGGGACTATAAGGTTTAGGGTGGTTGAGCCATGGGCAGACAGTACTTCACTTCTCTTAAGAATATATGCATATTCCCACTTAGTTCCGTTACTTATTACTTAGAGGGATATTTTGATTCTTTATTTTTAGGTGGTGTGTGTGTGTGTGTGTGTGTGTGTCTGTGTGTGTGTTTTTTTGAAAGAATACTAGGCGAGGGATTAAGAATGTAGTCAGCATTCTTAGAAACAAAAATAAAAGGCGGTTCCATTTCATAGAGGCAAGATCTACAATGCTTTTATGGTTGCCAAGTCGTTGACGCTAGCCAACTCCACAGCCACATAGAAAATCCCAACTGTCGGAACTAGATGCTGAAGGAACTGTGACAACAACCCCACGAATGAATTCCGCTCAGGAATCTCCCTGGCCTGCTGTGAGACATCTCGCCCTGAAGCAAAGATTACCTGCTGTAGCGATCCTGACCCAACGCCCTAAACCCTGAACCCTAAACCCTTAAACCCTGTTGGATTTGCACCCCCAGCCTGGCTTGTCCCGCTGGACCTGGTCTAGTCTATCCTCAGCTGCCAAACGGGCCGCAGCCACTGTGCAGAGCTGCTCAAGGTATCAGGGCTCCCTATTTAGGGTTTAGGGTGTGGGTTTAGGGGTCCCTTTAAGGGGTTCCCCAAAATTAGGGGTGCCTACTATAATGGAGAACCAAATGGAAAAGAACATGGAAAATGAAACGGAAACTGGGATGATTCACGGGATTATATAGGGTTTAGGGTTCCCCAAAATTAGGGGAACCTTTTCCGGCATCACCATAATGTTACAGTATTCGGGGTCTATGTTGGGGTCCCCCTATTTTGGGGAACTACCATCAGCTTGCTGAGGTCATGGTTCTACCTCGGACTGCACAGCTACCCCTGGATGATCCATCCTTACTGGTTCTTACTTAGCAGGGAATAAGGGAATAAAATTCCTATATAATCCCTGTTTTTAATGCACTCCCTTATTCCCTATTAGCCCTCGACCCTGCACCCTAGAACCAGTAAGCATCTCAAGCGAGAAAGCTGGGATACCCACCAAGCAGCTAACCAAGCGCCTGCCAGCCCAGACACGCGGCTTCTTAGCTGTAAGCACAGTGAGATGAACTTACTGGTTCTAAGTAGGGAACATGGGAATACATCATAATATAGGTATTACGTAGGGATTCTATAGGGATTACATTCCGCTATTAGCTACTAAGAACCACTATGTGGGCTACAGCTGACAGTCTGCGATCGCTCCACACAGGAAGCTTGCTAAGCCCTGGCCGAATATAGTTTGTAGTATATATTATAGTATGTCACAGTATATGATGGCATACTGTAATATATTATGATTATGATGTATAATACAGAGCTCTACTACACCCTCGCAGCTCGAATGATATCGTATGAGCCAAGGTCTAGACTCCCAGTCTCCCCCTTAATAACGACAACGTTTTAGCATCCTCTATGTAGCCCCGTTTAAGGAGTTTAGACTATACCTCATATGCAAGCGGGGCAGCCCTGGGCAGCGCACTCCAAGCCGGAACATGTGCGGAGCCTCATCAGCGCCTGCTGCAGCACCCGGCGCTCCTGAAAATGGCGATGGACTTACTGGTTCTTAGTGGGGAACATGGGAATATGTTATATAGGCATTATGTAAGGGTTATATGAGGACTATGTTCCCTTCTTCCCTGCTAATGCTTTATTGCCCACATTTTCGGAATCTTCCTTGTCCTCCTGAACAACATTGCCAAGCTTAGAGTCATGAAGGACATTTTTCATGATGAGCTACACACATCCGACACACATTGCCATTCCTGCAGCAAGTTTCTTTGTCAACATGCCTCAACAAGGGGGGTAAACCACACAAATCTGCCCCTAAACACTAAACCCTGAACCCTGAACCCTAAACCCTAAACCCAATCTAAACCCCCTTTTTGAAGTTGTGTACTAGGCTCGCCAGCCCTGGACTACCCGTCCGCGGTGTTGGATCCAGCCTCCTGGGTGAGCATTTGGCGAACCCAAGCATCCTGCTCCTTGCAGAAACAGAAGATTCGATGTATGATGTTCCCAGACCCCAAAAGGATCTAAAAATTAGATCCCGTAGAACCATAGGGGGAATTATGCAAGGATTCTATAGGGGTTATAATGGGTTTATATAGGGGATCTAATTTTTAAATCCTCCCAGGGGTCTGGGTTCTTGTTATTATGAAATGGTTGCATGCTCAATACTACCGCTGCTTTCTGCCACCTGTCCCCCTTGGCGCGCCTCCGGGTCGTCGCTCTCCGCTGGTGCATCTGGAGCCTTCTGCTGGCGCAGACGGTCTTTCCTTGGCGTCAAGACAGGTAAACCCTAAACCCTAAACCCTTAACCGCGCATGGGAAGTTCTCGACCTAGGGAGGTGTCTGACGTATTGTTGTGGATTGTTGATGCACAGAGCCGATGCCTACTTTTTCTGGCACGCGTTTCTGACACTTACCCATACAGGCACTAGTACAAGTAGCAGTTTCGCAGGTTTCCGCCCCTACCTTTGTCCCGGAAGGAAGTGAAATTACTGGCTTGTCCCGAGCATCAATGCTAGCCAGCGTATATCTTCCATGGTTTGCTTCTCGCTGTAATCAAGACGCATCACTCCTTCCACCTTACATATTGCCACCGAGGTGGGATTCGCACGTTCTTCCTGCTGTGTTGCTCTGGATTCGGGTTTCTGTCGCTTTACCTTACGGGGGGGTAGTAAGAAATATGGGAAGATCCCTGTATAATCCTTACAGAATATATACCCTTATTCCCTACTAATCCACAATAAGCATCAGCACCCACATCATAATCAAAAGCTCAAAATGGATGCTTCTTAAAACAGAGGTACCGCAGGTTAGGGGGCCATTAGGATGTCTGGGGATAACAAACGGATTACTTGGGGATCCCGTTTTTAGGGCTACATAGATATGGCTTTGAGAAATTCCTACATGAGTTCATCTGAAATCTGGCCCTGCTGCGGCGATCCAGTGCGGATGCAGGCGAAGCGAATGCCATGCTTTGGGGTTTAGGGGTATATTGGGATTATGTAGGGCCATAAAAGAAGAATATGAAGTCTAGTGGTATTTCCAAAATAAAGGAGAAATGATGGAGAAACAAATGTCAAGGACACGGGAAGATCACATGGAAACTCATATAGAGGTTTTGTAACTTACCTCTGGCTAGCAAGGAATGAAGGAATGGAGCCTTGTAGTACTCTCTCTAAAATTATTCATAATATGCTGTAGTAGTTTCCAGTTTCTTTTCCATTTCTTCCTTCCCCTCTAACCAGAGGTAGTTAGTGTAGGCACGTACCCTAAGCCGCCTTCGCATCTTTGGAGCTCCAGGTGCCCTTTGCGGACTGAAAATTGCATTCCCTCCATACTGCTGATGGAGTTTGAAAGGGTTTTTGGGGCCTGTCAGGGTCCCCGACAAACAACGAACATCATGAGCACGCACTTTATGGCAACTTCTAAAAAACAGGTTGGGATGATAGACAATGGAGGATGAGACTGCCCCTGCCGCGTGCGCATACCCGCGTACCGTCTCTCTTAGGAGCCCAGCCCATCAGCCTTAGATGATCACAAACCCTTCGGCAATCAATATAAACGCCATCCTAGAAGCCCATAAACCCCACAAAGTCTCAGGCGGCGCAGATGCGGTGGTTACATACATCTTTCAGTGTGAGCGTTCATGGGCGCAGGTGTTCCCTCCGAGTTCCCCGTTATCAGGTACAGCAACAGTCCGTCTCAGAGATCCCAAAAACCGGCGCATAGACAATTCCGTATGACTATGGAGACGCGCCACGAGGCGCGAAATGATTGATGCCTTCGGGGAGAGCACCACGCAAAAGAGCTTGCTAGAAGGGCACGCCGGGGGCACTTTCCGAAGCATGCTCAGCACGGCAAGTGTTCCCCCCTCCATTTCCGACGTGAATGCAGCTTCCCTTCCAAGGGACGTGCTGGTTCTGATTCGCTGGGTCCCGGGCAACTCGAAATACGCATTGATTTCTGCATGGGACAACTCGCACTGGTACCTTTCAGGCTTGGCGGTCTGAGGCCACAGTGTGCAAGCAAGGCTCGGGCGCTACTTGATCTACAACCTTCTTGCCAGCGAGTGGGTCCAAAGGCGTTAGGTGACCAATGTTGTGTCAGGACTCTAAAAGCCCAACAACGTTGCCTCGACACCTTGCCCTGAACCCGGCAAAGCAAGCACACAATGCGCGGGCGCACGTCTCCTGTACCGCCTGGTGCATGTAGGCTTCAGCTGAGGGAGCTCAGCTTTGAACGGCAACATGCTAATCTGGGTTGCTTTAAGGAACTTAAATTAAGTTACCATAATGGGTATATATATAGATAATAATAGGGTTTCCCCAATATGGTAACATAAGTTCCTTAACAGCAACCCAGTAGTTTGAATGACATGCCCCTTGACTTTTAGCTTTCCCGTGACATCGCCAGCAGCCAAGAAGGGAAGTAAACGATATGCCTTTTGTCGGAGCACGGACAGGAGTTTGCATAAGCAACTGTTCCTCAAATGGGGGCGGTGAAGGCAAGGAGGGAGGACAGCCCAAATGTCGGGACCCGTATCGTACCGTGAAGGAGCTTACCCACGTACAATCCAGCTCCTCACCAGGTCACTGCCCTGTGCAATCCTTCCAAGGTCCAAGGCTGCAACAGTTTCCTGTTCGTCTTATGAAGCTATCCTTTCCGTTTGAACCTGTGTGTTCTCATAATGAGCCTCTTGTCTAAACTATGTCTGCTAAACAAGTTCCCAGCAAGGACAGGTGACCCTACTCACATTGCAGCGTAATTCTCGCATGTACTTGCTCAATACAGTCAGGATCCGCGTCATACAGAACTCAGAAGAAGGGATCCATAGCTTTGAGAACCCGCATGTGCTTTCTTTGGAAGACTTGAGGTTTAGCTGAAGCCGAACGCTGAGGATAGGGCGTGGAAGCTGTCATGCCATATGAAAGCGTCCAGTGCAATTTCCATTTTTGAAAGGAAAAGAAGACGGAAGCCACACATATAATATGCTGCTTTCAATTTGTATACGGCTTCACAGCAGGCCTCCACGAAGAACTCACTAGGCCTCGATATGCCAGTCATGCGAATGAAAAAGAACCCATGAAGGCACAAGTTTACAGGTGCGCAGGTTGCCACGTGAAACTGAAAGAACTTTTGCTGGAGGGTTTTGACATTGACTTTTACGTATGGGTTTACGGCTTTTAGATTGTGGTGTTGGAGTGCAGTGTGGTGTCACGCCCTGACACCATGGCATCTACTTGACAACTCTGCAAAGGTCATGGAGCTCTAGAACATGCAAACATGGACCATTAAGTGCATGTTTGTGGAAACTTTTAGGGCAGGGTCCACCTATGAAATACAAAGCTCGCGGGATTTTAGTTTGGACCGCTTGGTTGGACACGAAGCTTTTGCGAGCCTCAATATAGTCATTCCAAACATGACCCAAACAGGCCAGGCGAAGAGCAAAATCCTATGAAGCTTGAAATTCCCTCCACAAAAATCTTCCCCCGTGATGAAAGCATGGTTTGAGGCAAATTGATCATGTTATAAGGCCAGCCACTCTCCAAGGGGCCTCTCAAGGAGGAAGATTACATCTGACCAAAACATCGTGGGCATAGGGTATGTCTTGAGTAAGGACTACACAAGGCCGCATGTTTCACTATCTGAGCTTGTTGTGCAAAATCCAAGCCCTACTGAGGTCGTGGCTTGGAGCCCCTCCAGGCAACGTAGGCCATCCTACAATCGCGAATCCGTAGAGGCTGTAGGGTCACCAACCCGCACAGCCAAAGACAAATCAATATACCACTCCAGTCACTTCAACCATGCCCGGGGCGCAGGGAGGCCGCAACAGCCACCACGAAGAAGAAGCATGCAGCCTGGGCAAGATGACCCCATATGACCCCCATGCGTCAAACAAAAACATGATTGTTTCTTGAGTGCCTGAATAGCACAGGCTTTAATTCTGATACGCATCGCGCGGTTTGGTAGGTTTTTTCGAAACCGAGGGGCCGTCCCTTATTTGCGGACAGCTGTGCAGACTAACTCAGAAGTCGTAGAGGGCGTCAACATAGCCAGGGCTTTAAATCGCTGACGCCTCAGTACTTTGCGAACTTCGCTGCGCGACACACGGAATATCCGTTGTCCCTTGTTCTGGGAGGCCTTCTGTCAGTTGGGGGTTTCCCAAAGCAAGGATCCTAGCATTTGGATGCATATCCGGGGGCCGCCATTTCAGAAATACCCGAGTGTCTATGAACCGGGCGAAGAAGAACTCCGACATCGCCATGGTCTGGCAGCACAAAGCGTCACACCGGTGGCATGCTAGTCGGACTTGCTTGCGCCTATGGTTGCTGGTGCTAGAGTGATGATCATGACTAATTCACTGTTATGCTTTCGATACACCTTCTGCTATTATTCTACACAGATCACCATTGGGGTGATTGAAGGAGTGTTTCCCTTTAGGAAGCTTGAGTGGTCAACTCTGCGCGCAGCTATGTCATTGCTTGCACGCAGCGAATAGTTTTTGCTGTGCTGTTCCTGCAAATGCCTTTCTCTGCTGTGTCCAGCATGCTTGCTCTGCTAGCTGTTGGACATTCGCAGCAGGCTGGTGGTAGCTAGGTATGGCAAAGCTGGCAGTAGTTGCCGCTTACTCGTAGAAGACTAAAAGACCTTGATGGGGGTTCGATTCTCAACATAAGCCCCCTACAATCCTTTCCCTGTCACCTGCTGCAGTCCTTACCCCTGATTTGAAATACAATCCCTACAGAATCCCTATATAGTATATTCCCTTATTCCCTAATACAACCCAATACATACCCTCTTATTTTGAGAAATCCCCGTTACCCGCTATCTCCAACCGACATGGAGGTCTGCTGCAGATAGAGCCACAGAATGACCGCAGCACATACCAAACACACTGATGGATGGCAAGAAAATGCTTTTCGGGACATGCAAACCATATATATATATATGTATATGTATACATACACATATATGGGTAATTCCCGAAATTATTGTCCAGAATATAATCTATAGCAAGAAGGGGCGTATAAATTTGAGAACAACCCACAATATTATGGATACTATATATATATATATAGTATCCATTCATAGGTAATTCACGGCATTTCCATTACACGGTATTCCCATTATTGCAACCGTCTTTATGTAGTGCTACAATTGATACTGATTACATCCAGACATCCACGCAAAACGTCGCCAAAAGCCGCCACCCAACTTTGAATCAACGCGTTGATCTGTCCACGTTGCTCCGCTGCATACGCAGGACTTCGTCCATGCCGTGCGGCAATCTGTGCGAAGCAGCTCACTAGAAGAGTTTGAAAGGTGCAGATCTGCACACACATATGGCGAACGAGTTCAAGAGGGAACAAGCTTGCACCTTCCTTACGACAAAGATTTTCGGGAGTAATGAATTGCCCGCTAGGTCCTTGAGTCGGCGACTCCCTTATCCGAAGCGTATCCAAAAACATGCTGGTGTTCGGCGGTCATGCAGTGAAAAAGTCATAAGCAAACTCGCCAAGTCAACAGCTGTCCCAAGTAAACTATTCAGAAAAGGGATAAGGAGGCCACTTTGCAACCCAGGGCGTGCACTAACACCGCTTCAAAAGTTCAATGTGAATTTCCAGCAGCTCATCACACGACCTTGGATGCTGTGTCGAAAAGAAACTGTTTCCATGTCACTGCTTGCCTCTTGAAAATCTGTCGTGCCAGCACGTCTGCGTGAGGCATACGTGTGACCTCTGTCACGAGAAACCTTCATTATTTCCCCCCATGACTATCCCCACCTGAAAGCAGAAGTCAGAGATACCCTAATAACTAGTACTCACAGCTTGAGCCCCTGAAGCCTAGAAAGCTACCCAACAAGGCACCGTCAGGTTGTAGTCCTGGCTTTGAAACCTGGGCAGCACATTGACTAGTTGTACGAGACATGGGGGGATCTTTTTCCAGTGAGTGCGTCTGAAGCCTTGAGCAACGAATGAGGTTCATGCTCATTGAAACCATATCTTTTGTTAAATAAGGGTGCTGCTTACACAATGATACCCCTGTATACAACGTCTTCCACACAAATCCCATGTCTTTGTCAGCGTACACAGCTCTCGCACGATTCAAGATGGCTCCTACCATATATCTGTTGTTTACAGTTGCTCGTTTTTGCTTCTAAGTGAGGATCGCCTATTGGCAAGTAAGGCGTCTTCACAACTAATCCGTGACTTTATCTGCTATACATCATCAGTCACGTTTATGAGTGAAGGTAGCTCCAAATATTTACAAGTGCTCCTGTCATCTGCCTGTCGAATCAATCCCTATGTAGTCCCAAGTACAGACCCACATGATCACCACCTAGTCTCCGCATATCCGTCCAAAGAGCCCTATTTTGAGAAGCCCCCCCACATGACTAACTAAGCCCTTGCCTCCCCCAAAAATATGCGGGCTCTTATGTTTAGGGTTTATGGTTTAGGCAGTGTGCGAGGTGTTGAAAAGCAAGACAAAGCAATTCCTCAGGATTGGTTCAGGCCGTGCAGAATGAGGCCATGGCCGAAGCTCCCGCCAGTGAAGGTTGCTGAGAGGGTCCTCTCATGGTAATAATATAATCCCCCTGAAGTAGATAGAATATGGGATATATGGGGATCTTATTATAATATACCCAAAGCCATATGCTATTTACTTAAGGGGGACTATAACCATAGTAACTCTTCTGATAAGGGTAATCAGAGTTGAAAGAACAGGAATAACAAGAATAATCATAATTCAGGTCATAAAGTCCCCTAGCAAGGGGCTGCGGAGGGATTGTATGCCGCCGGTGGGAAGCCACTGAGATCTTGTAAGTTATTTCTGACAACTGAAATCCCCCTACATACCGCAAAGACCATAGGATCCTTCCTTGCAGGGATTTCTTCAAGGGAATCAATACCGTTTGAGCACATCATCTGATGCACAGGCGTGCTGACAAGCATAGGTTGACTTGCGGCTGCCTGCTTGTGTGCTACGTCGCAGTTGGATACTGCAAAGCTTTCAAGCTGAAAACTGCTGCAGAATTGGATCCGCAACGCAGAACGATGTCAACGTTGGGATTCATTCTAGACTTCTATAGACGAGGTGTCCGTAAACGGGAGTGGTCATAAGTAGTCAATGTAGAGAGTTGCTTTTTGGTGAATGCCCGCATTAACCACGACCACGTGACTACTGCAGCAAAGGGGCATTGTGCGTGGAGGCAATGAGTGCATTTGATGCAAGTCGCGATAGCCACGTCCTCAGGAGAAATGGAAAAAGTGGGATCTTCTACTGGGTGCATCCTCGCGATGCATCGGGATTCTGATTGGAGTAAAAAGGTCTCGCTGAGAGATTGCATGGAATAATTGAAAGAAACTCCTCATGGGGGCAGAAAGCTCGCAAAACCCACCGCATGCTGGTTAAAGCTGAGCCCCACAGCACTACACCTTCAACAAGCCGCTCTTCACAACGCGCCCTTGGATCCTTTTATGATACATGCTAGGCGCTGTTCCGCAAAGCCCCCAATACCAATACATATGCAAATGTCGTACAGACATGTGCATGTACGTGAACTTGTTGCATACTGACGGCAGCCTATCAAAGTGCACCTTTGGATATGATCAGGATCCCATACATCTTTGTTCCAATGAACATGAATTCAGGCCCCAACCCTAAACTCGAAATGTCTCCCATATATGCATGAATTCCATAGATTATCCCTATGCCCCGTTTAAAGGGGCCTTATACCAGGCCTGCATTCAGAAGTGATTTTTGCCCAATGAGCATGTCCCTAAACCCTAAACCCTGGTGCTCTTAGGCCGGAACCGCAGCACGAGAGCAAGCCTTCCTTCCTGGCAGGCGGGCGCAGCATTGCCATTGGTTGACTAGCCCGGATTTAGGGTTTAGGGTCTGGGGCTCGCTTCTGAACAAGGGGTTATATTGGGATAATGGAAAAGAAAATGGAAACTACTATGAGCATGCAAAACTAAATCGCCAGCATACTGCACCTCGACGCAGGCATGGAACAGTTTTCTGATGCCGCTTGCACCCATTCTCATTATGCCCGCAGTAACATACTTCAAACAACCTTTGATAGTTTCTGAGGTTTCTACCTCAGATCATTCAGTGGTCTAAAGATAACAAAACAAATGCAGGCATCATCAGTCCATGTGTTGAAGCTGTGGTGTTGACAGCTGCATCCCCATCAACCACTGCACAACTTCACTGTGGAGCCACGTACGGATACTACGCTTGACCCTAAAGAGTTGCATGACTCCACATACTCAAAGGTTTGGGATGTATGGTGCCATAGTATGCCTATTAATAGTATGGCCCTACTAGAAGGACAAGGCTCCATGCGGCATTGAAGCTATGGAGCCCTCCACATACTAAGCCCCCAAAGCAGGATCATGCCTTCCAGAAACCCCAACCCCACACAGTAAACCCCCAAACCCGAAGCAGCCCCTAGCCCTCTAACCCTCAATCCTCGCATAGATTGTAAGTTAATAAGAATAATGAGCCCCAACCTCCAGCTCCTTGCTACGCAAGGCATCGAAGGCTATGACTAAAACCTGCCGCCGAATTCACGCTCTAGGTTAGTGTAAGGTTGAGAGGCTGGGGGGGTAGGGTTTACAGTGTAGAGGCTGAGCATGTTGTGGTGCAATGGGTTTAGGGGTTCGGGATTGTTGACCCGAAGCTGAGGGAGTGGATGCAGGGGTTGTCGTTGTAGTAACAAACACACCTTTTATTAGGGACCCCAATGTGAAGGCTGTACAGTACGCAGGATTTTGGGGGTTCGGGGTGGTAGGGTCGTCAGGTTTTCACCAAGCTGCAGGCTGCAGGCATGGTGTAGCAGGGTTCGAGAGGTATGCGATCGAAAAAGTTTGTACCCTCAGCGTTGCGACCGCGATCAGTAGACCAGCTTTCCGGATGAGTATTCTCATTGTTGCTCCATACCGCTATAGAGGCAGATGTCCTTATCCTTGTCACAAATCTGCTTCAAGTTGCCAGTACTTCTGCCATCTCATACTTACGTCTGCTGCTAGTCTAATAATTAGACTGCGCAGTTCTTGGATCAGTACTGTCAGTCTGAAATAACACCCTATTCCCTAGACCTGTCTAACCCAAGGATATGGAATTTCCAAGGTTTTTGGTGAGGAGACCCTGATTTTGTAATTCATGTGACAGTATATTGTATTATATCATATGGTTGAATACGGATTTATTAGTGTTGTTCTTAATATAACAGAGTGCCATCAGTGCTTGCGCTTTCACAACTGCTTTGGATCCAAGACCGTGGTTGCGAGCGCAACATTCATCAGCAACATATATGTTCCCTGATTCTTAGCCAGGCTCACTCGTACATCTACGCAAGTGGCCTGGCAGCCGCTTCAAGCCTGCTGCACAGCTCTGAAACCAAGCTACGAATTTCAAGGAACGGTTTGCAATAGCAACTGAACTGTTATGGGCCATGTGAAAACTAGGCCCACAAAGCAACCTGTAATGAAGCGGCTTGTCTCTACTAACAGCGCGGGACCCTCCAAGACCTTGAAGGACGCAGCCCAAACATTTGGAAGGTACCTTGCCTTTTTCTTCTTTTGAGCCTGTCCTGAGTTGAAAGATGTTGAAAGTATACCGCTGAGATCGAGGAGGATGCAGACCTTTGAGGCACACGCTAATTGCCGAACACCAACCTTCCCTTTGTAGAGAATCCAGTTCATTTTCATGTTGTTTTCCACCTTGTTTTCCATTTGATTCTCCACTATCGTGACTCAACCCTAAACCCTCTATAATCCCTACATAGCCCCCTAGACCCTAAACCCTAAACTCCAAGCCCCCTTTAAAGAGTCCCCCTCAAGTAGATAGAATATGGCTTTGGGTGTCTTACAATAAGATCCCCCATATACTCCATATTCTATCTACTTAAGGGGCCTTTTTGACCTTCCCTCAAAGGCATCTGCCTCGCTTTTGCCCACAGATGTGCCGGTGCAGCGGAGGCAAGCCTCGCCGCTCTCAACAAGAAGCTGAGGGGAGTATGTAGGGTTTAGGGCTTAAGGTTTAGGATTTAGTTTAGGATTTAGGGCTTAGGATTTAGGGTTAAGGGTTTGGGGTTTTGGGGTTTGGGGCTTATGGGGTAGTTGTTCAAAATACCTGTCCAAAATGCCCATAATTTGGGTTCCCTGTTGGGTTAGGATCTCCTTCCTGAGGAAATGCAGTCCCTTCTCTACAAAGGCCTTTAGAACCAACCCCCATGCAGGTAGCTTATATACAATTTGTTTCTCCGCTGCTACCCTATTCTAGAACCATGTGAACTACCTGGCCTAATATCAACCCCACCCCCCAACACTAAATATTCTCTAATCTACCATGGTACACCACAGGGGGAATATCCAATACTAGGGGTGGCGCGTTTTAATATCAGGGCAAGGTGTACATAGGTGACTATTTGCTACATTCAGCGCATACATCGCTACATACCCTATATACGCCTGTATATCTCTCTATATCTCCTATATGCCCCTATAAATCCCAAAGCCCTAAACCCGAAACACTAAACCCTAGGAAGGCCCCAATATAGACCCCCAAAAACTACAATCCTTACTTTAGGAACCCGCAAAAAGGTACCCCTAATTTTGGGAAACTCCTATATCTACGCCAGGCTGCTCCAGCGCGGAGCTGCAGAGAGGAGTCAAAATTAGCACTGGCGTACTCAACGGCCTCAGGCCAGGGTTAGGGTTTAGGGTTCAGGGTTTAGTAGGGTGTAGGGCTACAACATAGTATACCATATTATAGTGCACTGAAAGGTTGTAATGTATTTTATGTACGGCATTACAACGAAGTGAAAAGCATCGTAGTAGATTTGCGAATGTAATCGCCTACTGTAATATTATGTCATCATGTATATAGCATGTCGCAGTATAATGGTAAAATATTACAACATATTTTGACTTAAGGGCTAAGGGGTTATTTTTCCCGGACTGGTGGGTTTAGGGTAGAGGGCTTCTGGTTTAGGGGGCTCGTTGGCTCAAATGGGCTGGGATTATGACCTTACAGGCTTCGCATGGTAAAAGCTCAGGGCCTAGGCTGCCTTTCGTCTACCAGTAGGGTTTAGCATTGCAGGATCGAGCGTACTATACTTGGTGCTAAAAACCCAGAAAGATCACCTGCTCCTCTTACAACATGTACGAGTCAAAGGAAACATGCAGTCTTTTTTTCAGATCCTTATCATCCCAACGTATCACTTTGGGGCGCCCCGAATCCTGTGGTGGGCCCAGAGGAATTGGTTGGCGAAGAGCGGCTCCCTCCTGAACTTGGCACGCAGTTTGGCGCAGCGCCAGCACAACTAGATGACCATGGCTGACGGAACTATCCCTACGTAGAATGCTTCTTCGCCGGCTTGTCCTGGAAAGTCGTCCCACATGGCCATTTTGCAGGTGCTGACATAATATGGGCTTTGGGGAATGCACTAATTACAGGGAGTACTACATGCCGTCAGTGACTGTTGATAAATCCACAAAGTCTCGCCCCTGTCATTTTCAAAACTATGCGCGCCCCAAAGTTTGAGGGAACATTCCCTCACACGGATAAAGCACATGTTGCTACTGATTCCCTCTAGAGTGGCATTCCGTCATCTCAAGGCCCCAAAGTAGGTCAGCATGCACACCTTGCACCTCCAAGACGTAAATACAAATTCAGTTGAAACATAGTAATTTGGGAGGGTCCTAATATAGACCCCAAAATATTATAGTCCTTATTATGGGGACCCCCAGAAAGGTACCCCTAATTTTTGGGAAAGCCCCACATGAGGCAAGCAAGCCGTCCTACAAGCACATGATAGCGGACCCATGAAGGCCAGTCCGAGATGTCGTGCTGGAAGTGACACCCAGGCAGCAAACGCTTCATCCCATCCCTAGTATAGCCCCAATGTAGCCCCAATATAGCCCTAATATAAGCCCAATATAGCCCCAATATAGCCCACTGATGTTCCAAGCTTCTGTGATTGTAGTAAGAAGAAGATTTTCTCCCAATCAAGCATGGGTAAAACATAACATGGACATCTAGCACTGAAGGAAGAAGGAAGAGGGAAGGAATCCTCCCGAATCCAGGGCTCCAGGCCCCGAAGACAGCGCCGGAACGTGCTCTCCTCGCCCTTGTGGGCTCCTGAGGTCAGAGCACCAGGTCACCGGTCAGGGGGCGTCGCTGTGGGTACCCCCAAAACCTCCTTACACTCGCTATGTATTCCTGGAGTCCATGGGGTATCTTGTTTTGAGACACCGCCCTTGTGTTGGGGACTACACTACATGATGTTGCTGTCGTTCATGCAGCTTCCGCCATGCCTCTATTGAGTTCGCACTTCACTCCATTGTAAGATATGGCTCAACTGCTTCATGTGCCACTGAGGAATCCGAGGAAGTTAGGAAGTCAACCCAAGCAAAGGGCCTCGAAGACGTAGACGTCTCCTTTCGCTTCCTGAGCTAGGAAACTGCTTCAGATGCATGGCTCTGACACGCCATCTTATGCGTTTGTAGTCATGTAGCAATATCGCCAGAAAGCGGTTTAGTGGGTCTGCTTGAATTTGCCAAGTCAGTTGCCCTCAAAGAAGGAGCGCGCTTCTTCACAATCTCATGACACAGCGATGCTTCGCGATATGAAAATGGCAAAGAAAACATGATGGCCGGTAACACTCCGCTTCTTGCCGCGTGCCCGCTAATCCCGAAAGTAACCTCCACGATGCCCTGAAAGACCCTGCAAGGGCAGGCGCATTCAGATGGTGTCTCGGCATCCGCTTCGCGGGTGACGATGGCGGGTGCGTAACCTTCTTGCACAGGCCCGGGGATCCACAACTCACACAGCCATGTTTGATGCATTTGCATATCACAGGCACAGACACACGGGGTGCAACACGAGCCAGAAACCCCAATGTTCAAGTGTCCAGCTCGGGCGTCATAAAAATCAGATTTCTTCCATTCTTGGCTTTTGTATGGCGATGTCTCATAGAGACCTGCTGTGGCAGCCTGTCTCTTAAGATTAGAACCGCGGAGCCTCCCAAGCCTGAAATTGCTTTGGGGCCCAACTTTCAGGATAGCGCAAGATTTGGGGGTTTTCGTGAATCCCTATAGTAAGGATTATAACATACAGTATTGGGGTCTAAATTGGGGTCCCCGAACTGCCTTTGGGCTACGTAGAGCCACACTTCATGACCACTGATTGCTGTCACCACTGATACGGGCATCTGGCGATTGTTACCGCTACTCTTCCTCCTGATATAACTCATCACCAATCTTTTTATTGAAGTGATTCCTTTTACTCTGGCTAAATGGTAGTTTCTCAAAATTTAAAATAGGGGGACTCCAATATAGACCCAAAATACTATAATCCTTATTATGGGGACCCCAAAAAGTACCCCCAATTTTGGGAAACTCCCATATCTACTACTGAAAGTATGGTTGGCTTTCAAGGGCGCGGGCGTCCACAGCACCATCCAGCAGAACAATGAGCTCTGTTGCGGGAGTTCCATAATTGAAGAGGACCTGCACTTGGTGAAGGGTGTAACGCGGTTTAGGGTTTAGGGGTTTAGGGTGTAATGCATAAACGCATATTGTAGAAAGTCAAATGGAAACTACAATATCGTTCAGAGTTTAGGGATTGCGGTAATGATGAAAACCAAATCGAAAAAAGGAATGTGAAGCGGAAACTGGGATGATGTAAGCAAACGAGGGCAAGGCTGAGATAAACAGTCTCGGCAATCAATCCCAGATTGAGCCAGACTCCCGGCATAAGCATTATCTACGTCATGGATCCCATACCCTGCCATCTTACCCTAACTATCCAGGCCCTCAACCCAAAACCCTAAACCAAAAACCCTACCCTACAGTAGTCCACGAGATCTGGGGCCCTTGCCTCGCCATCTTCCTCGGCATCAAGCTCAGATTCATTTCCAGGAGTGGTGAAAGAAGACGCCATGTTGGGGACTATGGACCCTGTTTCGAACAGCATTCATGCGAACCTCCTTTTGATTCTTAGACCTCCTTGACGCAACCTGCTTTTTGGGAAGAGCTGGAATGGCAACGTCTTCGAAAACTAGAAAGGCTAGCTTGCAAGCCGGGATGCCTTCACACGTGGCTCCCCCGCGAGCTCTCGCAAAAGTTCCACAGAGATGTGATCTGCCAGGATTGCAGAAAATGCAGCAAGCGCACGGGTTCCCTGTGGAGTGCGGGGAATGAAGAATCATCTCTTTGTACCCAAATTCAAATGCAGCTGGTTTGATGAATGAGGCCCTTGCCAAAGAGCAACCAGCTTGTCAACCACCCAAGTCATGGAATTCTGCCAAACTCCCTCCAGCCTGTAGAGCCTCAAAAGCCTACATACCACCCTCATGTAGCCTACATGGCTTCACTGCCAGCCCGATTTGGTCGTCCATACTGTAGAATCACCCAGAACGCTTCAAGCCAGCCTTCCTGAGTCCAAGGGGTGGGCGGTCAATGAACGGGGGACTCCCTTAACAAAGGCGGACAAAACCGCACTAATCCTCAGCGGTCTGCGTTGCTTCTGAAGGCTTCAGTTAGGTAGCTTCCTCACATTGGTAACACCTTGGTGGGAAAGCTAGGGCACCTGGATCGAGCACCGGAAGCTCTTTCTGAAGTAAATGACGCCAGACGCCGCCGTCCTTAGGCCACTGCTTCAGGTACTTCTGCTGCGACTGGTAGTAGAGGTGGCGATGATGGCGCTGATGGCGGCGGCGGCGGTGGTGTCGGCGGCCGAGGCGGGGAGCGGTGGCGCCGGTGGTGGTGGTGGTCGCCGTGGTTGTCTCCGCTGTTGCCAGGATGGGGAAGATAGTGCTGATAGCAACTGGTAATTACAGTGATAGGCTTCCTCGGGAGCTCTGCCTTCAAACTCTCCCAGTAGGCCCCCGGGCCAGCTCATTGCTGCACTCTCTGGCAAAGTGAGGCGAGGCCTTGGAATCATGGCACCGCCCTCGCAAATCACAAGGGTGAGCCAGGCCCGCGCTGAACGGATGTCGGCGCCTACTCCCTAAACACGAAACCCCAGATTCCTGCAAGCAGCTCGCAAGCTCATGATCTCTTTCTCTGGAGCAGCAGCTCAGACCAGCTGTTGCCATCCCTGCCAAACAAAAATGAAACGAACACTGATCCTTCTCCCTCTACCACTCAGAACCAATCTTGACTGGTCTGTAAGGCCCCAAACTCATAGCAACCCTCGCTGCCCCGCTTGGCATGCGACAATCTCGAGGTCAGTGATGCAGTTCAGGGAGTCGATCTTCGACACGCCTAGACACCACATGGTAGTTTCCCAGAACAAACCAGGGCAATGCTGCACACGGAGATCATTCATGGTGCCAACCATTCATCGCGTCTAACAGAAGGAGTCATACTACACCAGCGACCATACCTGTATCACACATGGACGCTGTAGTGGCATAGACACGACTGTGCCAGTTATTGTAAGATTCACGTTTTCCGGATGAGACGCGTGAAGAATGCATTCCCCCGTAAATCTGTGTGCTAGCCTTCCAAATCATTTGGAAGAGAGCTCATGTAGCACATACGCAAAAGGACCTATCCACCAGCCCGAAGCAATCGAGATCCTGTTGTAAATAGACACGTCACTCCCAATGTTACGTACATCTCTGGCGTTGCTTGAGGACGCGGGAGCATTTCAAAATGACCCATACAATCTTTTCGAGGGACCTCAGAATCCGTCATAACCCCCCAAATCTGGCAAGCGTTCACGCTGTCTCGAGAAATCCCCACACCTTTCTGGCAACTTCCAAATCTGAGTGCGGATCCCAAAGACCCCTTCGGCCTCGGCAGAGCAATGCTTTTCTGGGTTGCTGTTGAAGAACTTAGTTTAAGTTACTAATATACCCCTCTCAGAAGGTAGCAAAAGACTATGTCTCTTGGGGTCCCTTTAAAATAGACTAGAAACCAAAGGACCAAAAGACTAAGGAACGACCCAAGGGAAGTAAAGACTATATTATATTGGGGAAACCATATTGATTACGATATATGATGCACGGTTTTTATTTAAGGTCTGGGCAACTGGTCAACGGAAATCATTGTTTTCCAATTTTCGGGTATATGCTGTCGTTATCGTTTTTGGTGGGCGTGCTATCGTTGTACGATCAAAATCCCTGCATCACGAATCCGATGTCCATCCTTTACATATCTCCTATGACCGATAAAAAAATCCACACGTCATATACCCATGATGGTAACTTAAGTTAGTTCCTTAACTTAACAGCGACAAAGTTTCGGGTGGTAGATCCACGTAGGCTTACATAGATCCCTCTTACGAATACCCCACTGAGACGGAGGAACGCTTTCACCATTTTGTATGCCCTAGACCCTTGGAACCAAGCAGCGCAAGAGCTTCCACTTTAGGACACCTAAGGAAGATGGATCTTATCTGTCATTTTCAGAACCATTGGATACCTTTACCTTGTATACGGCACCCTTCCTACCAGAAAGCTCTGGATCGGTCTTCCAAGCACCGCAAACCAACAGAATCATTTTTGCAACGTCCCTGCCAAGATTCACCCTAACTCAAAAATGTGGCCCATCTCATGATAACCTGGCAGCGTATGCAACCCTTACGCCAATCAGAATTTCTCTTAGGGCTCTTGAAGGAGCTGAGAACACGAAACTTTGAAAGGTCTGCCTTAGGAGGACCTCCCCCAACATGTAATAGTAGGAATTATAACAGGATTATAAGAGGAGCCTGAGTATAACCCGTATTATCCTCTAGAGTCGCTAGTACTGGGTGGGGGCTCCACCTCAGGTCTGCCCGCCTCTTTGTCGGCAAGTGTTTCCTGATAAACTTCTGTAAGATCTGGTCCTCGAAGCACTGCAAAGCCTGGAGTCTGGTCCAACTATAATCCCCTAAAATCCCCTAGGTTTAGGGTTTAGGGTTTAGAGAATAATCCTCTATAATTCCCCATAAGCCCCTATATAACCCCCACTTGTTTTCCACCGCCACCGCCCAACATGAATCGTTAGAGATGGGTTCATTCTTGGTCCTCAGCATGTATCCTTCTCATCCAAGCCATCCTTTAGGGTTTAGGGTTTAGGGTTGCTTCTGTAATCACATGAGGTTTCAGGTAGCTTTGCAGAAAAACTGGTGCGCATGCACAGCGTTGACCAACAACTGGGCTTGGCCAGCCTTGTCCAGATCGTGGAAGACTTCCAGCGGAGGCATCTGACGTAGGTCACTCAGGATAACTCTACCAAAGACAAATAAGCAAGAAAGGACGATCTCAGTATGCGAATGGTAATCAGCCGGTTGTACATTGCAGAACAAGACGAAGACATAGTTGATGATACCCACTGACTGAGCAAAGCATGGTAGACCCACAAATCAGCTCATGTGTAATGGACCCTAAACCTTAAACCCTAAATCCTAAGCCCCTAGACACTAAGGTGCGAACTGGATCAAAAGGGCTTTACGAACAATCATGTATCGGATTGGGGGGCAGTCTTGGAGCACCTGGCCAGATCCTCTCTGAGGAGACGTCAAGCAGGAATCGGATCAGGAAAGTAAGATCAAGTAAACATACATCGCTCCACCCTGTACCCTACGCCTTACACCCTAACGCCTAAACCCCTAAACGTAAAAACCCGAAACCCTAAATCGTGTATCCATGATCCGACATCCCGATCGGCTGCAGGCACTCTGATCTGTTACGAAGATCCTGCTGATCTGATATGCTGAGCCGTTACCCGACACCGTTACGCGCCCCCTCTGAGCTGATACCTGCAGGTTCCAGCAAAGCATAGAAGCCGCTACGTCAAAATCCAGAATACTAGCAGCAGCAATACTGCCAGGTGGTGAGGTCTGACTGACAACAACACCTGACAATCATACACTGGGCGGTACTGTATAGTTTAAAGTCCCGCCCCAAAACAGTTCATGAGTAGGTTCCCTTATAGTTATCATCCCAAAGCGCCACCTAGTACGCTATCATCAAGAGATGGTTCTCTACATCAGTGACTTTTCACTAGATAACCTCTGCATGTTTTCTAACTTGATTTTTCGGCGCCCGCAGCCATGTGGCAGAGATCTACTATCAACAGTATCCCACCTGCCCGTGCATTCTGCATTCTGTTTTTACTTACTAGGCAGGAACAGAAACTGAACCTGGTATGTTGATATTGTGTACTGGCGCGCATTTCTTTTCTTTTAAGTTCCTAGGCAAGGAAACTTCATTCAAAACCTACTAGCTCAGTCAAAGCCTGACTTGAGCCCAGACCGAAGCCTGCATACTAAGAAAGCCTGATCAATTAACCATCCTACCCTAAACCCTAAACCCTAAACCCTACACCAATTAACCATCCTGTGGTCTATTTGAGGCACCCGACACTATAATTTTTCAGGGTTTAGGGTCTATAACTAAATAAGAAGTCCCATTTAGGCCTGTACAGTAATTGTACCGGAAGCTGATGATGCCCTCTATGGTCTGAAGTTTCTAATGACTAAGAGATTGTTGGTCACTCCACCCCCCCTAAAATCACATCCCTATGACAATCATATGCCTCTTATCGGATCCTTCTAAGCCCTAAACCCCTAATCCCTAATTGAAAGAGCTGGGGCAACCCACATCTTTTCATTGTGCCTGCTGGTGCTCTGCCGCGCACTGGAGGGCATTGCGCAGGCGGCGAACGAGGCCACAAAATGCCAGCCGAACCCTGGGTCGACAGCAGCTTGTACAATTTGACAGTAATGGTTATTCAGGTCCCTCTAAAGGGGTTTTATAGGGAATGCGTACTTTAGGGTACCATTAATAGGGGTTATAGGGGTTTATGTGGGGATTGTGTAGTGGCAGCAATGATGATAAACTAACTCACGAAAATGGGCATAGTGAGAGGAGGAGTAGTAATAGTAGTAGATAATAATATCTGTGGGCTTCCTATCGGAAGGCTTGACACCCTTTCCTGTATAACCCCTAAATAATCCCAGAACCCCTAAATAATCCCAGTTTCTAGGTCGCTTCCATTTTCTCCTGCATTTAATACTTCGGTCTTGGTAACTTAAAGATCCAGAGAGAATCCCTGCTTGATGTGGAAGTTTGCCCTCATGACATGGGAATGATGGAATTCAATGGAAGCTTCAGCGTCCCTGTCTCCCATGCCGTCGCAAGTCTGACCTGAACTCAAGAGGCCGAACAAAAGCAGAATTCAAAACTAGTCACTAAGAAAGGTAGTGCGGAAATGTGGAGAGTCATTGCAACCCGAAATCCTAAACCCTAAACAACCCTTATAACCCTACATAACCCCTATATAACCCTTATAGGTATATAGATAGAGAATCGTATATATGTATATATAAATATATATATGAGCCATAGTCTAAACTCCTGGTATCCCCCTTAATAACCCCTATAATACTCCCCTATATCATCCCCTGTATAACCCCCTTTAAGGAGTTTAGACTATAGCTCATATATTATTGTTAATATTATTATTACCTAAAGGGGTTGCCATGATCACGTTTGGCCATCCTCCCAGCCAGAGCCTGCTTGTGCCATGCTGAGAGCCTGGCGGCCTAGGCTCCTGCAGCTCCTGGCAAGTGGGTTTAGGGTTTTGGTGGTTTAGGGTTTGGGTGGTTTTAGGTTTGGGTGGTTTAGGGTTTGGGTGGTTTTAGGGTTTTGATGGTTTAGGGTTTTGGGTGGTTTAGGGTTTGGGTGGTTTTAGGGTTTTGATGGTTTAGGGTTTGGGTGGTTTTAGGTTTTGGGGGTTTAGGGTTTTGGTGGTTTTGGGTTTGGGGGGTTCAGGGTTTTGGGGGTTTAGGGTGCCCCCACTGATAATGGTATCTTAGGTATAGGATAATGGAAAAGAGAAGCTGCAAACTACTATTTAGGGTCTGTTCAAATAATGGAGAATGAAATGGAAACTGGAGTTATATCTCGATATGTGGAGGTTTAGACTAGGATCATTTAAAAACTTGGAATTCAGATCAGTGGGTTTGGCAGTTTGGGGGGAAACCCTAAACCCTAAACCCTAAAGTGGCCTGCACCAAGTCCACCATGGCATAGACACCGCTGGCCTCAGCACGCACTCCGGAACACTGGAAACTCGGGAGGTCCCCAAAGTTAGGGGACCCTTAAACGGTTTAGGGTTTACGGTTTTGGGGTTTAGGGTTTAGGGGTCCCCTATAATGAGGATTATAATCTATTGGGGTCTATCTTGGGGTCCCCTTGTTTAGGGAAGCTACCAACTAAAAAGCGCAATGACTACGAACTGCACACCGCTAAGACAGATAGTTCTCAAGATTACCTAACCCAATGCCTGATCATATCAAGATCAGCTCAGCGGCATCAATGGCTGGCACATGGGAGAAATCGAGGATGACGACTGACACCCCTTGTTCGTGCACCTTGCTCCGCACTTCGTCAATCACCTCCGTACAGACTGGACAAGTGTGGGACTCACCATGATGGAGTAACTCGGGACAGCTTGACACCTGCGCAGAATACATCCCCTATTATACTATAGTAGTTTGCATTTCAGTTTCCATTCTTCCCTATAGACTATCCCTAAATAACCCGATATTACCATCGCATGAAAGGAAATGTGGAAGCCTGGCAGGCGGAGCCGAAAAAGAGGTAGCCACTGAGCCAAATGACCTGAGCTGGGCGCGATTCAGGCACTGTTGACCCGTTGTCTGATGGGATTAATCTAGGGATTATGCAGGGGCTATATAGGGGTATCAGGTACATATTGGAGTTCTAGTGGGATAATGGAAAAGAAAATGGAAACTACTATAATGGGCGATATAGCGTCACCCAGTGGACCTTTTGCAGACCTCTTTCTCTGTCAAGAAGGGTCGCCTCATCTGATCAAGAGCCTAGAGATCCCTCCTTAGCATCCCTAAACCCTGAACTCTAAACCCTAAACCCTAGTGTCCCTACTTCTAGGGCACCCCATGAATTCATGAGACCTGCAGTACAACATGATTGAAACAGCCTTGCTGAAAGCGAGTGCTTGAGGCGGCTCATCGCGGAGTTATAGTTTTGTAGAGGTATGTAAGCATAGGGATATAGGGTTTAGGGGTTTAGGGGTTGAAGGTTTAGGGGTTGAGGGCTTAGGGTTTCAGGGTTTAGGGTTTAGGGGTTTAAAGGGGGAACGGAGAAAAAAATGGAAGCTACTGTCTACTTGCTGGTTCTTACTAGGGAATATTCCGAATTTGTTGATCTATTACACAATATAGGGATGATCTAGGGATTCTATTCCCTCATTCCCTACTAAGAACCAACAAGTTTCGCCTTTGTTTTTCGGACCTTCTCTCCGCAGTCTGCACGAGGTTGGAGATGCTTGGAAGGCGTCTTAGGGTTCATTACCATTACGTGGGGTTTGAGGGCAGATTGTTGCGCTTAAAACTCTGAAGTCTTGGAATTAAGGAAGCTCGGGAACCTAAGTAATGGTAAGCTACATGGGTTTGAGGGTTTAGGGTTTTTAGGGTTTAGCTTGGGTCATTACCCCTTGCAGGGGGACTGACCCCAGTCTTAGGGTCTAGGGATATATAACCCCAATGATGCTGAGTTGAACGGAAAAGTATATGAGCAAAACATGGAAACCGGTATGATTTAACTGTTTGTAGGGATTTGGGTTTCACAAAACTAGGGGTACCAATTTGACTTGATGGTCCCAATCATCAACAGTATAGTATTGGGGCTATATCGGGGTCCCCCTATTTATGGAAACCATCAACTTGCTTTCCAGGCACCAGGGTTCTGTCACCATGCTCCTTGAGAATCGCGTGCTCCTCATCGCTTCTTTCCACCCTTGAGCGGCTCCTCAGAAGAAGCATGGCGAAGCACGACATGACTGACACCGCAATTTCCAGAATACCAATAGTACTGGATTGAGCCTTATTCGCTTCTAAGCCTACTTGTAAAAACTCATGTCATGCGATCATTTGCACAAGCTGAGGAATTGTATGATCATTTGCATGAGCTGAAGAAAAGGGTCCTTGGATGGCTAGAAGCTACCATAGACTAGTAGCTCGTTGACGGTGGCATTAAATGGATTGACGTTGGCATTGGAAGTGAAAGCTAATTCTGTGTCACCATATTAGGTGCCAAGTGTTGGCACCTTTGTACGCCGCTAAACATGAGCAGGTTGCTTTTGGCAATGGTAAACCCAAGTAACACCGTGCAAATCAATCTATATGTAGAAGCTGTACGAACAGAACATCGTGCTCCGGCTAGGGACTGCCGTTCTCTCGGTAACGATCAACACTCAGACCTGCTTGTGCACGGCCCCTTCGCTGTTGCTATTGCCATGAACAACTATTCGGTGTGCTGTTGCCATCGCCACAATGTGCATGCTTGCATGTCCTTTGTTATTTGTAGCAAGGTTTTTTCTGGGCCCACGGCTGGCTCAGGGTGCTCTCATTGGTGATGCCAGTCACTCCCGTATACTCAATGGCAAACCACGCCTCAGTGGAGCAAAGTTGTTTTGGGTGCCAGCTGAGCATTGCGTTCGATCCCGTTCCATCTTCCTATGGGCTCCAACCATGAGGCTACTAGGGTCCCTCCACACAAAACAAGGGCCTTCTTGCGGATTATTGGGAACATGAGTCATCAATGAGGTCTGATTAAAGCTTATTAGGGCTTATCAGGCCTTATTAGTTTGGGGGTGTGCATATGGGTAGTTGTCAAAATTATGGTCCCTTGTTGGGTACCCTAAACATTAGGTGCCGTATTAGAATAGGGATCCAAAAAGGGACCCTAATTTTGACGACCACCCATATTGAGGGGGCCAATGGTAGTCCTACGACTGAATCTGAAGTAGCAAATGAGCTACTGTCTAAACTCCTAGTATCCCCCTTAATAGCCCCTGTAGTAGTCCCGTATATAATCCCCTGTATAACCCCCCTTTAAGGAGTTTAGACAATAGCTCAAATGCACGCAGGCTACGCCGAGCAGGTGACTCTGGGCACCCTGCTAATGTGCAGAAGAGGCCAAAGAGAATGCCCAGGGTGACATTGATGACCTTTGGCTGGCCGAAGCTCGTCCTACTGTAGCATATATATATATATACACACCCGGTGACGTAGTTTAATACTGTGAGGACAATGTGCTGATATAGTGCTAGAGTACGAGCGCAGTATAATGACACGGTACAAGAACATAAGACATGCTACGGCATCATTTGCGGAGCTGACCATGGTTTTATGGTAGCAGCACTGGGCTTCAGGGGCCCTCAAGTGCAGCCTCACACGGAAGCTGCTCAAAAATGGGCGGGCCCTCTTAGACCCCACAAGTGTGCAGGGCTACACGGATCCCCTCTAGATATAGCGTGGGGGTGCCTTGAGGGACCACAGGGAGTTCAGCATGTAAGCAGGTTTTTGAGGTCCCTGCCCACGATCCTTTGAGGGTTCACTTCGAGGAACTCCCACTTCAAGATAGTTCCACATCCCCTTGCCAGCTGGGCGCCGAACAACAACAATTGTCGTGGCCACCAAGACTAGCCACTCCTCTTTTGGCATAGGCTCAGGGGTTTGGGATTTGGGTAGTTCCCAAAAGTAGGGTCCCATTTTGGTACACCTGAATATTAGGTGCCGTAATATAATCTATACCCAAAAGGGTCCCATAATTTTGAGAACAACCCATTTGTGCTTCAGGTTATGAAGTCTCGGCCTCACCTGAAGTTTGGAGTTGAAGGCTTGGGATTTCGCATGATCTGCACGCAAAGAAGCAACACCGGATTTGCCACGCGGACCCTCATGGTTTGCACACGTAGAACCGTCACCTCAAGTACAAAGACCGTCAGACCCATCCCCAGGAGCCAAGTGTAAAATGCAATCTTCTGCCCTTTTGGACGCCGATTGCTCTCCTGCAAGCAGGCTTCCGAAGAAAGGTGTTCAATGTCAGGGCAGGTAACTACCGGCCGCTAAGGCAGATGCAAAGGGGTGTTGTGTGCTCAAGTCGGTCAGACTTGAGGTAACGTGAGGACGAAGAAGCATCAAAGGGTACCTGTGCTATGAATTCATCGAGTTCTCAGAAGAGGCGATACAGGAGTTCTAGCTACACTGCCAAGCAGAGAATTCAAAAACAAAAGAAGATGACGGCCATCAATCATCATTCGAACCGCCTTTTATGACATTTGAGCCTTTAATTTTCCTTTGATGCAGGAGCTCCCTGGTTCCCAATCTTTCTGCTCTCCAGAACTCCAGTCCTCCCAAGCCACGCGCCGCCTGGCTTCTAGCAGCCATTCGCCGATAAGGTCGCAAGAGAGCCGCACCACCGTTCCTGCCACAACTGAGGTTGCTGACTGTTCAGATTCTGCATTAGCAAGCTTCACAAGCAACATGTGGTGTCGAGGTCCCGACCCCAGCTAGCCAACACAATGCTGTACCAGGTGGTTGCACGGAAGTCTGGAACAACGTTAACCAATTTCCTGGAGAGATTATACTGTAGCTAGCCCAACACCCTCGCTCTTGTCATTCCATGCTGATCCAATCTGAGCGCTGCCTGCAAAGAGGAAGCGCGGAACAGTCTGCACAATGAATCGAGGAGAAAGAGCAAACAGAAGCACATTGACGATCACGTTGAAATAGGGCCAGGAGGGCCCAGACCTCAACTTGCAGGTCAAAAAGAGCGCTTGCTCTTGAAGTGCTCCATTTGGTCGGAACAAGCCTATACAAGCCTGTCTGTTCAACTCAAGAGTAGCTCCCAAACTGCAAAAAGCCGGCCAAAGCCAGACATCAGCTAGGATTTAAGGTTTCGGATACCAGGCAAAGGTAGTCTGCCCGTATGACCTCAGTCTCCGACTTAACTCCCCTCATGATCATCGGGATCTTGAAGGACTGCATGGAGCAAAGGCCGCCCATGGAACCCAGCAGCACGTTCGTGAGACCCAGGGTCCGGATCCTTGGACTGCATGTCACAATTCAATAGAGGTTTATATCGGGTTCTATAGGGAGAATGGAAAATAAAATTGGAATCTACTATCATAAGACAGGATATATATTGGCTTCTATAGGGCTTTATATAGGATTCTACATAGGGATAACGGAAAAGACAATGGAAACTACTATATACATATATGTATACTAGAAGGGGTTTAATATAGATTATAATATAGAATTGGAACATCGAGTTATACTGTAGAGCTATGTTATAATATAGGATTATAAACTCATAATGGAAAAGAAAATTGAAACTACTGTAGTGTATCTCTTGAGGATCCGTGTGAGCGACTTTGGGAGTTACGGAAACATTGCAGTCCTTGTGTACCTACCAAAACTGGAGTCCTTATGGCTGGGCGAGGGAGGAGACGCCGCCATTTGAGAAACCCATGCATCATCCAGCCAAGTAGATCCACTTGACGCGGGCTGATCACTGGGTACCCTGTGTACACGGTTCAGCAGGACTTACTACATCTTCAAGATCCACCGCAAAGGGAAGAGTGCAAACCGCACCTCACACCCAGGCTTGCGGCCAACTTGGCACTCAATGCAAGCTACGCACAGAGACTTCCTAAGGGAGCCTACCCTAAACCCTGAACTCCTCAACCCTAAACCCCTAAACCCCTAAACCCCTAAACCCTAGAAAGTAGCTTCCACTTTTCTTTCCATTATCCCTATATAACCCCAATATACCATAGTAGTTTCCAGCTTACTTTCCATCATCCCGCTATAACCCCTATATAAGCCCAATACAACCCCAATATATACACCAGTATGTACCCTATGATCCCTATAGTTTCCATTTTCTTTTCCATTATAACCCCAAGCCCTTTGAAGCCCCCAGATGAACCCCAGCCCTTCTTTGGGTTTTGTTGAAAATTCCCGGTAATGTTGGGTGGCTTCTCATCATATGCACACCACTCTAAACCCTGAACTCCACACCTTACAACCCTAAACTCTAAACCCGATCTAATTCCTGAATCCAATTTGTTGTCATATCATGAAGCCAATGCTTGCCAAGGTGCTCCTCCTGCTCATCGCAGCGCTGTAGCCCTGGCCGAAGGGGCACCTGAGATAAGATTATATCCCTTATATAAAATACTATACCCCAAAAGGAGGATATAATCTTACTCTATAATGGGTAACATAGTACCCCCAAATAGAATACTACCCACCTGTTGTCGGAGTTTTTAGGGTTCAGGAGGTTCAGGGCGTTGTGCTTTGTCTGTTTGTCGTTTACAAGCCCTACAGCCCCAAATTCTATACCCAGTTTATAATCCCCCTGAAACTATAATAAGATCCCCGTATATCCCATATTCTACTTGAGGGGGACTATAGATCTTCAGGATTTTCCTACGATGAAGCTGGTGTGGCACCAGCTTAGCCACCGCCAGGGTGTTGATGCTCCAGGAGACGGTCATGATGACCACCTCGGAGGCAGATTTGGGGAGTTCCCAAAGTTTTGGGGAATTAGAGGGCCCCATAGTAGGGATGATAATGCGTTGGGCCATAAAAAGGGGATCCCCAAATGTATGGAAACTACCACTTTGCGATTCAATCTGTAGGTTTAGTTCGAAAAGTCCAGGATTTAAGGTCCCCCTTAAGTAGATAGAATATGGGGTACAAGCGGATCTTATTATAATATACCCAAAGCCATATTCTATCTACATAAGGGGGACTATATATTACCCAAGTCCTGGAAGTAATTGTCGTAGTATGCTTATGGTCACGCAAGATTTCATCCTTCAACCCCTAATTCCTATAAACCCTAACACGTAGTCCCTAAACTCGAAAACCGAATTCCCAGACTCGAAGTCTGTCAAGCCCTAATCTTAAACCTTATCATCGCTAAACCCCTAATCCCTAAACCCCCAAAATCCCTCAACCTCATGTCACCCGAATCATGCCAGGGGGCAAAGCCGCCAAGGAACTCCAAATCAGCCAGACCCGAAGCCGAGTAGCTCTGGTTGAAGCCATCGCGAACGCGCACCTCCGTGGGGGGTTAAGGTTTAGGGGTTTAGGGTTTAGGGTTCAGGGTTTAGGGTTGAATTGCTGGCCTGTTGTTGCAACTCCCACTGTTACTGCTACTGGTCCTAATCCTACCCATGCTCCTACTTCTACACCGACCGGGTGCTCCTACTCCTCCTGCTCCCATTTTGTTGGTCTTGCTGCTGCTACCAGGACAACTGTTCCCCCGAAGTGCTGCTTGCTGCTGCTGCTGCTGCTGCTGCCGCTGCCTGTTTTCCCAAAGCTTGAGAATGTCGGGAACTCAAGCTTTCGATCCAGGGTTTCAGTTCAAGGCATGCGATGGATCTGAAATCTGATGAAGTGCTTCTTCTCGCTGCCAAGGGTCGAATGGTTCCCACCTCAGTTGCACTGGAACCCGTAATTACCTCTGCCTGCTTTCCCCCTTTAGGCATGCATTGTGTGCCTCAGGGAATTTACTCTGAGCTGCACACTGCTGCAACTTCCCTGAAACTGGTGACGAAATGAGCTTGCAGTTTTAAGCAAACCAACAGAGGATGGGAACTTTGTGCTCCCTGCTCAACTACTGCAAGCTATCAGTCTGAGGCCCTGGCCATTTGACGGGATCCGGAAACTCCAGAAACCAGGACCTGGCAAAGCATGAGGCAGCATGAAGCCTTTTGGGCGCTGCATGGCTAAGGCTAAGGGTCAAAGTGCCACCTCAGTTGAGTTCTGTGGGCGCTTTCGTCTTTAACTATGCTGCAGGCAAGGATGTTTTTGAGACCCACTGTTGCGCCACGGCAGCACTCCTGAGGTGCGGTTCTTCTGTCGATGGCATGAGCCCAAAATAGATGATCGCGTTCCAGTAAATATTACTATTAGACTAGATGTAGGTGCCCCTCGGCGCAACATCTACCGATGCAGCGTGTGCCTGGGTGGCAAGGCACCCCCTGAGGCGTGCTGCACCAGAGCGCTCAAGCCAACCGCCAATGCGATCACCAGCGGTGTGCTGAAAATGTGCCACTCCCTCACCTCAGGCCAGGTGGACAGAGTCTGCACGCAGTGATCTTTATCTGCTTACCCAAGGCGTGGTCTCCTTTTTGAATATCCCCGCATTCAGAGAGCTCTGTGAGTTTGGGCATAGGGTCCTGGGCAATGATTTCCTTGCTGACATTGCCGAGCCACATGCTCCAGGACGGACGAGAACACCACGGAAAGGATGATCCTCAGCGCGAGCATAGGACTCAAGCTTCTGGTTCCCTTTCTGTGAGCCCTCTTGCAGAAAGAAACCCAAGATTTGGGGATGCCCTGCACCCTCGTGGGTCTGAAGAAGCCGCCTTTGGGTGTGGGAAATCCCTATGTTTTTTGGACGCTGCCGATCGTTTGCAAAAAAGAGAGGCCGCCGTTGATGTTTTTGAGGGCCACTCGCTTCGAGGATGCCGGGGATGGCCTAGCCAAGTGGGGGTTTCCCAAAATT